TTTTTGTATTTCCAGTGCTTAGCACAGTGCCCGGCTTGAGGTAAGCACTTCATAAATGTTTACTGAATTGAATTGGATATATGTATGGGGGAGTTGGGGAGAAAACCTAATCATTTCCAAAGACTCAGTGAGCTTTTTGTTTGAATGCAGAAATCATTCAAGGTCCAGAGTAACAACTGGGGAGACAATAAGGCCAAGCATCTGCAAATTTATTATCCTCCAGGGACAACCAGTGGTACAAGAGTTCCGGGATGATAGGTACATCTCCCTTCCACAAGAGTCATGATGGCATAGATACTCCCTCAGGAGGCTGCCACACTGCCCCCTAATCCAGGCCCATGGGGGGGCAGAGTCATGGGTGGCAGAAACAGGGCCTTCAACTTTCCAGACAAGCTGGCAATCTCAGGATCTTGAGCCTCATAGGATTTCACCAGTCTGGCAAACTTCAGGACACCTAAAAGAATAAGTGAGAGAAGTCGATCCCATAATTACTATCCCCACAGTGGCTTCTACTATTGATTGGAGGCAGCTATCTGGAAAAGTAAAACCATCCCCAGCCACCTAAATGTCTCCAAAGCAAGGAAAAACTATAAAGAGTAGAAGCTAGCAGGGTCATACCCCACAATGCATTACAAGCTTTCATTATCCCTTCTCCACCTCCAATGGGGTGGAGATTAGACTAAATCACTTCCTGTTCCATATCTTGCACAACCCAGAAGTGAAGGGACGCCCAAAATCTTGTGGAAAGGAGGGAGGTTACTGATTTTCCCTTAGAGGAAAAAAATAAACTAGGATGGATGTGTATACTGGGAGGGGGATGGGGACAGAGAAGTATGAATGAAGCAGTGTTTTATATGTAAACACACACACACGCACAGTATTCCACCTGTTATCAACCAAGTTACTTGGAGGTGAATTATGCTCAGTTTGTCTTTGCACATCTCATCCCCTAATCTCTTGGGGTCGAGATCTAGATTGGCCGAACCCATCCTGCTGCATGAAGACACCCTTAGACAGTACATACCCAAGCAGCAATCGGGAGGTGGAGGCGAAAGTAAAATGTATGGCCAAATCCTGGCTGCCACCGCGTGTCCGAAGAGGGGACAACAGCTTCAAGAAAGCCCTCGGCTCCCAGCCCTCCATCCCACATTCCACCATTAACTTGCCTGCTGCCAGGTGTGTCAGGGCACACACTATTATCTTGAAAACGTATTTTTCTTCTCCTTTTTAGAAGCCGTTATTTAAGTAAGGTGTACTTATTGTTTTAAAAATGGCTTTCGTTTAAGAGTTGGATGAATAAAAATAATGCCCTTTATGACTGAATTTTCAATAAATAAATAAATAAATGAGAGGCGATCGTACACACAGGCCTCGGAGTCAGAAAGACCTGGGTTTCGTGTCCTGGTGTCGACTGACCACTGCGTGGGTTATTTCATAGGTTTTTACTGCCCTCAGGCACCGAATACGGAGCTCCCCCGCACAGATAAAATCATCAGTCTAGTAAAACTAATTAATTCAATTTCCCAGTGATAGACCCGACCAGGCCCTCCCTCGCCCCCGTACCGCACCCCAATCCCAACCCTCCCGCGTTCGGGGTGGCCAGGCCTGGGCAGCCCCACCTTCCCCATCACAGCTGAAGCCGTAGGCTTTCAGGACTTCCTGCTGTATCTGCGTAGCCACGGGAAGCACGAATTGCAGCATCTTGCCCATGTCGTTGCAAGCATTGTCCCGAGCCTCTTCCATGCGCACCGCGTTTTCCGGGGCCGCGAACGCCTGGATGACCTCAGCCAGGACCACTGCCCAAGCCCAGATGCATAGAGGTGCAGGCGCGCGAAGAGGATAAGGGTGCGCAGGAGCCGAGAAGGGCAGAAAGTAGCAAAAACAGTGAGAATGCGGTAGAAATAGGAGGTAAACCCACCCAGCCAGCCTTCCCCACCCTCACCTTCAAAGCTAAAGAGCCTCCATGAGCTCGGGGAGCTAATCTCAACCCACACCCTCCCAGGTCCCTCTTCCCGGAGCTGGCAATGCCTTCCCCCACTTCATTCTCCCTACGTTTGCTTTTTCCGCTCTTTCTTCTGCCAGTAACCTCAACAGATAACTCCTCTCACCCTTAGCCTGCTCAGCGCTCAAGGCCCCGGGTTGCGCGGGACCGGACGCCATAGAACTGTCAGCAAAGACGCAGCGTAAATACAGCTTCCGAGAACCCCGGTCACCAGCATCAGAAACAAAAGTACTTCCCCAAACCGGAAATACCTCAGTTTGATACCAGCTACCGGGCTTGAAGGGCGGAAGCAAAAAAAACACACAGCTCCTACCCACGAGCCCGGCGGACCGATAAACAACCTATATTCTTCCACCTTTCTTAAGGAAAACACTTCTTTCACAAAACGTAAAACAAGGGT